CATTGCTATATGATTATGTTATGTCTTATATAATTATGTATTATGTTTTTATCTCAGACAATGGGACAAAATGGGTTAACAGTGATTATCTCTGAGGGGTAGGATTTTGATGACCGTCTTTTGAAATTAATTCTGATTTGAATCTTTCATAATGAAAATGTGCCATTTCAGGGAAAAACAAAACAAAACAAAACTGTAGCCAAAGGAAAAAAGGTCCTATATATCAGACCCAAAGCCCTGATCTTGAATTTTACTTGACAACCATGAAAATGAATTTTCCTGAAGCCAGTTCTGTTCTGAGAGTCATAGTGTCAGATGAGCAGAGTTGGACAAGGGAAATGGTAAGCAAGCTCCCAATAGAGGATGTGCCTACAGGAACCATGAAGGCCAGACCCAACCTACCTTTTGTGATGTACAAGTAGAAGAAGTCGCAGTATAGAATGGTCTGGACTACACCAGCCACTACAGCAATAAGGTCAAAGAAGCCCTCGAAATAGAAGCGCCAGATCCAATTGACAAGATACAAAGCACGGTAGAGGCCCAGGAAGAACAGGTAGTGAGTAGTGATGGTCTCAGCCTCCCCAGTCTTGCTGATCATAAAGAGCTGTGGAAGGATGGCCACTGATTCAAGGTAGATAGAGAAGGTCCATAAAATCTAGAAGAGAAAGGGTAAACTTCAGTCAGGATTTAGTGCCCACCACGTGTTCAGGGGAAATACTCTTGCTTTACTATAGAGTAGCTTAAAGAGTAAGAAGTCTGGGTATGGGCATCTCGGCCTCAAATAGCAGCATGGTGACTACATATATCACAAATAGTTAAGCAACATTTTAGAGGCAGGGCACTGCCCAAGACAAGCTGGGTAACTTGGACACCTTTACCTCTGAATTTTCACTACCTTGTCTAACACCTTATTTTTCTCTGTATAACATTCTATGAATCTACATGTAAGATGTTCCTCCTGGACAAGCATGTTTTACTCCTAATCTAGAGTCTCCAATCAGCCCTGATTTCTGCCAGGATTAATAATACCAATAGTTCACTGGGCACAGTGGCTCACACTTGTAATCTCAGCAATTCAGGAGGCTGAAGCAAGAAGATCACAAGTTCAAGGTCAGCCTCAGCAACTCCATCAGACCCTGTCCCAAATAAATAGTAAAACTGTGGGGCTGGGATTGTGGTTCAGCAGTAGAGCGCTCGCCTAGCACAGGTGGGACCCGGGTTTGATCCTCAACACCACATAAAAATAAAGGCATTGTGTTGTGTCCATCTACACCTAAAAAATAAATATTAAAAAAAAAAAAAGTAATGAAGCTGAGTGGTAAAGTGCCCCCCCAGGTTCCATCCCCAAATGAAAGAAAAAAAAAATATTGATAACTGTGTTCCTTCTACCTCATCACTGCTGTTTTTCCTTACCAACTGATCGTTTCCAGACTCCTATATTTTTCACTTACAGGTGACCTCTGACATAAATTTTCGACTTATAATTTATTATTTTATGATTGTGTGAAAGCAATATACACTTAGTAGAATGATACTGTGAATTTTGATCTTTTCCTAGACTACTGATATGTACTATGATACTCTACTTTAATGTTGGGCAGCAGCAGCAGCCTCACCAGTAAACCACACCATCCCAAGGGGACACAATCAACATTCTAAAATGTACCATATGTTGCTAAGCTGATTTCTGGTAGGTTAGATGTTATTAAATACTTTTTCAACTTACAAGGGGTTTATCAGGACACAACCCCAACATAAGTCAAGGACTTATATTTTTATTAGTCTTCAGGCTTTCAGGAGTAGTTAAATCAAAGGGTTCAGAAACTGGAAGTGTAATTATGAAAACTCTGTCCGATGTGGTACTTTACTCATGTTGACAAAAGAAGGACTTATAAGTAGTCTAGGCACTCCCAGCACTTATCAGACAACCAAGAGCACTGCAGTAACCTAATAAACACCAAGGTGCTAATCAGCAGCTCTTCACTGGGAAAGAGGCACTTAGGAAAAATTCACTCCACTGTGGTGTAAACAGCACCATAAATCACTGTCCCCAAGGGTAAGAAGTTTAGGAGTGCTGCTTAGGAGATGCATAGACACAAAATCAGTGTGCAACATCCATATATGGAAAGGAAACAAAACCTAGTCAGAGTAGGGTCTGACCATGTTATCTTCAAACACAAGGACAGGCAGGGCTCAGAAGTTAAGATAATAAAACAGTTTTGAGTTCTTTCTCAAGGACAGTCAGGGGATAAGCTGTCAACAGATACCCAAATACTTGCATGCTTTAATTCCTGTCTATAATATATTTACACCAAATAGTTCATGTTGCACCAGAAGTTTACCTGAAAAACAAAAACAAAACTCCACATTATCTGCATATAGGTTTATTTCCTTAGAGAACCAGACATGACTACTAAATAACACCTTAACTAACCTCTAAAGGAGAAAAATCGTGATTGACCAGAAATGAGAGTCCTCCCACAGGGACCACCAGAAACTCCACTCGGAAGGTATCATGATTTCCATCATAGGTTGCCTTAAATTTCATGTAGATCAGATACACCGTGGCATAAGAGCAGGCAATATAGATAAGCTAAAACCAAAAGAAAAATACCAGGTTGTCAATACATTGCAATTGTTTCAACTCCCTCAGCTTTCTACATCACCAGTTGCTTGGTTTGTTTCTGTTTTTAATTTAAACATAGTAAAATTCATTTTGGGGAGATGTATACTTCTGAGTGATATAAACAGGAAATTTTATCCATTAAACCCAAAATTCCATCATCCTGTCTTTGTACAAAGTCAAGCCTCTCCAGGCTTCACCTTTAATCATCCCTGTCCCACTTTGCCTTTTCTAGAATGCCTCATAAATGAAGTCAGATAGCATTTTTTTGCATGTGGCTTCTTTCAGTTAGCACAATGCATCTGAAAGCCAACAAACTAGTTGCTTCCCATCCTCCACTATCTAGGGATTGAACTCAGGGGTGTTCTACCATTAAGCCACACCCCCAGCTATTTATTTTGAGACAGGACCTAACGAAGTTGCTCAAGCTGGCTTTGAATCTGCCATTCTCCTGCCTCAGCCTCCTGAGTAGCTGGGATTATAGGAATGGCCACTGTGTCCAGTTATGTTGTATATATTAATAATCCATTTTATTGATGAGTACTGGCCCATTGTGAGGGCACATCATAAGTTGTCTATTCACTCACCAGTTAGAGGACAGCTAGATGGTTTCCAGTGTTGAAGGGTGGTGGACAACGCTGCTATCAACATGTTACAGGCTTTTATGAGAACATAACTTTTCGTTTCTCTTGGTTTTATATCTAGGAGTGGGTTTGTTGGGTCAAATGTTAACTGTAAGTTTCACTTTTTAAGAAACTGCCAAAATCTCATCTTACTATTACAGCAGATTAAAGAAAAAAAAAACAAGTTCAATGCAGTTCAAAACCCATGAACTTCCTTCTAGCATAACATTATTCCTTGGCTAGCATTTTTATAAAGAAAAAATGCAATGCAATTCAAGTTAAACTCTGCCATGATGATTTACTTAAATTATGTTACTTTTAACACTGAACATTTGGAAAATTGTTATGAAATGGTTTGGTAACATAACAAAAGCAAAACCTAAAGTTAATGATAATTTGGAAAACATTGCTGCTTCTAAGGGAATGATTTTGTGCACATGGCAGTATAACTGCTCAAGGACTTACAATTAAGTTATATGTTCTTTCATCTTTAAAAGGTCAAATATCATCTAGTCACCTGACCAAGGAAAAGTCTGATATGCTGAAATTACATCAATTTTCAAATTGCAGAAATTTAGGCTCAAGAATCAACAGCAGATTTAGTGCATAGAGACAACTGGGATAGGGACCACCCTGCTTGGTACTACTTCTCCTTAGGAAATATGACTTGACAAATAATTAGGAAAACATTTGGGCAAACTACTTAACAGGAAAATGAGAGCAATCATCAAGCCTTCATATGCCTAAAAAAAAAATGTAAACAACCCACAAAGACATTAAAGAGTCCCTGGTATATTATGCACTTATATTTGAAACAGTCAACACTATTCAAACTGTCAGTCATAATCATACACATGCATAAACAAAGTACATATACATGTGCATTTACACTGTGCCCTCTCCTGCACATATGCAGAAGAGGCTCCTGGCAGCCAGGGGCCCCAGCAGGTCAGGTGGAGCCAGGGAGGTTTGGTCCATCCAGGCCTTAGCAGCCACTGGGAAACAACAGCTGCTCATCTCCTCTCACTAGTGCTTAAAGTTCAAGTAAAACATGAGGATGTACAACTTGGGTCTAACTCCACCAGCTTTCAGGACACATGCTTAGGAATTACAATCAAGCAAACCAGAAGGATTCCTCTGAAAGGTGGTACTCCTAAAGAGGAGGTGGAGGATTCTGGCTCACATACCTTTAATGCCTGCAGTTTCAGTTTGCCCAGGCACTAAGCAGGGACTTAGCCATTTTTAAGACAGTTGATTGTTTCCTGATTACTAGGTTTCCATTGCTTAGTAAAGAATGGAATGATTACAGGTGACTCAAATTTGCTTTTTTTTCCCCTCCCTCCTTTTTTTGAGGTACTGGTGGATTGATACTGTATCCTGCTGCTGTGTTAAACTAACTAGTTCTAGTAGTTGTTTATAGGTTCTGTAGGATTTCTTTACAGGTGATCACATCATTTGCAGATAAAAAGTTTTACTACTTCTTTTCCAATTTGTATGTATGTTCTATTATTTTATTGCAACAATTAGAACCTCCACTATTTTGACTAGAAGTGATAAGATGGAACATCTTTGTCTTTATTATCTTTG